GACTGGATGCCTTAGAACAGAGAACTGAAATTAAAGCAAACATTTGTCTTCAACTTTTGTTTAATATTTCTCTTGTGACATTGATAGAAAACATGTTGATAAAATGTGAATAAAATTCATTCCAATTTTGAAATGGGTCAATTGAATTACACCACAAATTATATCAGTATAATTAAAAATTAGACTTGATGACTGCTGCAATCATACATAATTCACTAATGTACAAAGTCACAAAATGCAGTAGAAAAAGGAAATATCAAAAGGTCAAAACCAAAAATATTCCTGCAAAGATTTTGAACAAGAACACCCCTAGTGTTACATTAATTTCAACAGAAAAAATACTTCTTTTAAAATCAATAATATTTTTTTCTTCAGAATATCATATGCTATCAGCAATGCATTTATATACTGCTACGTTCTGAGTATTTAAAAAAATACGACGTAACTTGTTTTACACATGTTTTCTTTCAGTCTTCTGCACTCGTTTTTATCCAATTTTTCCAAACAATCAAAGCCACATCATTTATATTTTCTTTGGTATGGGGATCAATCTATTAAAGTACAACAGTATGTTACGTACTGTAATATTAGGCTGAGAGGGAGCCGAGTTATGGTGAACTAACTTCTGAAGTTGGGCAGAATTTCACGACATAATGCATGGTTTCACTTACACACATCATTATGTACGTTATCTGTGGGATTTCAGTCAAAGGAACGACAAACATCGAACCACTATCTCAACTTACCGTAAATTAAAGATGAAATGCCTAGTTCCCCCTCAACTCTCAAGTCTGGCGCCCCGAGTTTCGCTCAGGAATGTAAACAATCCATCCCTTGGAATATAAGTACCTAGAAATTCAAGCGGGACATATATTCCACACAAAATCAATGCATTCAAGTATAAGTAAATTCCTTTTTTTAAAGATTAGCTAGCAAGCAGGTACTTTATGATTATATTATTATGTTTGATATTATAAGAGATTCACTGCAATAGATTTAGAACTCTTCTTAAGAATATGATGCGATGATTTTTTTTCACTCGAACGTTATCACTATGGAAACTGACCCAAACTTTGAATACCAACATAGTATAAACATTCCAGAGTCCCCTGTGTTTTGGAGTGCTTCCTGGAACTGGCATTTGTGATGGGCATGAAAACACTTTGATTTCGATCAGTATAGTCTGAGATTTGACAGGAATCATGGTAAGCTTTCATATATTTGAGTATGCATGTGAAATCTATTGCAATTGGTGAATGTTGCTATTAAAAATGATAATATCTGAAGATGAAAGACGAAAACAGGAAATAAACCTTCACCCATTGCAAAATATTGCCATGTAATTGAAAATTGCACAAGAACAAAAAATATTAATGTTAGATTCTGTCAAAGTAGAATGCAGTCAAATAATCAAAAACATTGTTTTTTGCTTCCTTGGAAGTATTTTCAGAACACTTTATCTAGCTCAGAAACTAATTAGAGTGAGCCATTATCTTTTATTATACTGTTCATAATTTGCTTTTTTTAAAAGATTCTGTCGCGTGCCAAGCCAGCCTTGGGGTCTAATGCAGCAGTGCAGCCCAGCGCAGCAGCAAACAAAAAATCACTGCCAAAATTGGAAGACTTTCTGTCAGCTCGGGACTTCACTGGCGCAATAACATTACTTGAGGTAAGTAATTGTGAGACATGTTGAACTGTAGAATCATTAATATTGTCAACAAGTTTATGAAAATTATGTCTAAATTTAATGTAAACTTATTTTACCAATTTTATAAATGGAAATATTAACTTGTGTTATTCATCCTCATTCACAGTTTGAGCGTAATAGTGGTAATGCCAATGAGCTGACAGATCAATGGATTGGCTATTGTGCTTTTCATCTGGGCGACTACAAACGGGCATTGTTAGAATTTCAGAACTTAACAGTTAACAATAAAAGTGGAAATGTAAAGCCAGAAAACTGGATAAGTCTGGCATGTTGCTACTTTTATCTGGGAATGTATCCTGAAGCTGAGGAAGTAAGTAATTCATATATGTGTGTTTCTGAGACAGACAGTGAGTGAGTGAGTGTGTGAGTGAGTGAGTGTGTGAGTGTGTTTGAATTATTATCAGTTAAAGACTAATCATAAGTCATAATTTAATGATATCAGTAATAATGTTAATAGCAGTAACAATGTGCAACAATGCTACCAATCGTAAATATTAAGATTAACAGGATAATGACTGTATTTTTGAAAATACTGATGAAGATAATGTTATATAATACTGAAGACTATTATGATAATGATGTATTTTTCAGGCAGCAGAAAAGGCTCCAAAGACAGCTCTACGTACAAGGTTGTTTTTCCATCTTGCCCATAAGTTTAATGATGAGAAACGGTTGATGATGCACCATCAGCAGCTGGAGGATGTCATTGAAGATCAATTAAGTCTGGCATCCATACACTATCTCCGGTCACACTATCAGGAAGCCATTGATATATACAAGCGAATACTTCTGGACAGCAGGTTTGTGGAAAAATGTCAATAGATTTACAGTTTTAGAAAGACATACAGCCATTCCCTGTTACATGCCTGAGTTCTGTTCTGAATGACCAGTCAATATTTCAGAAAGGACATATGCCTAAGTTGAACATATATTCTTATGGCATTTAGAAATCCTGCATGCTCTGTTCTAGTATTACTTGACAGATTATAATAAAATGAATGAATGTTCTAAAAGAAGATTGTCTTCATGAAGAACATATTACATGTGATGCTACCCCTCACACACAATTACAGTTGCAGGTATAGATGGTTGTAAAGTACGTCTTGTAAGTTGTGGAAAATTTAGTATTCATAATAATGATAATGTTAGTAACATCATAGTTTCTTTTCTGAAAAGATGGTTAAGTATGGTTTTTACTAAAATATCTTGATTCCTTTTTTTTGGCAGAGAATATTTGGCATTAAATGTATATGTGGCACTTTGCTACTACAAACTAGACTACTATGACGTCTCTCAAGAAGTATTAGCAGTATACCTCCAGCACTACCCGGACTCCCCCATTGCTATCAACCTCAAGGCTTGTAATCACTTTAGACTGTACAATGGAAAAGCTGCTGAACAGGAGTTAAGAGCATTACAGGTAAAGTAAAATAATTCCAGCCAATTACAGATAAATGAGCTTAATATTCATATTTCTCACTATTTATGAATTATAAAGAGAAGTTTGACCTTAAACACAATTAAAAAATATTTTGTGTACAGTTATGAGTATTTGACCTTGTGATTATGATAAGATTGCAGTTATTAAGATATTTTTTTCTTTAATTCTGAACAGGATGTAACATCATCACCACTTACATTTGCTCAAGATCTTGTACGACATAATCTAGTTGTGTTCAGAGGAGGAGAAGGGGCATTGCAGGTTCTTCCCCCATTAGTGGATGTGATTCCTGAAGCCAGACTCAACCTTGTCATCTACTATCTAAAACAAGTTAGTTTTTAATGTTTCATTAAAAAATAATAAATTTGAGCCTGAGAGACCAGACATTATGTAACTTATACTTTTTACATTCAATAGACATTGAGTTGAATTATTCAGTGATTAGATATACTGTGGATATGGTGGTCTTAGAAGATCTCATGCAGCTGGCAGCATGAAGAGGGTTGCACAGAGAGAGATGGTAGGTTAAGGTGATCAGACAGTTTATGAGAGGTGACATACCCTGGTACCAAAGGGTTAATACATTTAATGTGTAGTGAACTTAGATTTGTATACTGTAAATATATTTATTTACCTTGTCTCCAGCTGTAGTAAATCTTCAGTTGCGCTATACCTTAAATATTATTATATGCTATAGTTAGTGTAGATGCAACATCAGATGAGACTAAATTTTTCACTTTGTAAGGCACACCTATGTAGAAGACACACCCCAATATTTAAGCATTTCGTTATTGTAAAATATCTGTAACATTTTTTTTATGTCTCTTTGCAAATTGTCAGCCAAGACCTTTATTTTTCTTCATTACAGTAAAATCTGTAATGAAATAAATATTTCATTCTTTTCTATCAAAACAAAAATCTGAGAAAGAGCACTGCATCTTATTAACTCTTCCTGTATAGATACTATTACGCAAATACACTCATAAACAGTGAGTAGCTGCTATATAGTTCAAATTAGGGGCTTCTGGAGTTGTAGGTTTTGCTTTATAGTCATATGTATCTACTGTTGTTAGTGTAATGTATAATTTAAGTTCAAAGATGGAACCCCATAAAGGAACAAAATTTTTCAGTCACATATTTTAAAAAAATAATGTGATTAGCAATAATTCCAAGAAAGTATGATTATTAATGGTGTTAGAGATATTGTGCCAATTTATAAATCATATTGAAAGGCTAGATGAGGAGAGATAAGATAAGACATTCATGTAATAAAAAATAATCGTCTCCTGAAAGAGATATTACATATTCACCATGGAACTGTATATGTGATTTTCAATGTCTGTTCCTATACATTGCTTCCATGAACATTCCCATTGTATTATGTTTGTTCTATCAGAGCCCCCCCCCTCTCTTTCTCTCTCTCTCTCTCTCTCTATATATATATATATAGATAGATAGATAGATAGATAGATAGATAGATAGATAGATAGATAGATAGATAGATAGATAGATAGATAGATAGATAGATAGATAGATAGATAGATAGATAGATAGATAGATAGATAGATAGACAGACAGATAGATAGATATAGATATATATGTGCATATATATAAGGAGATGAAGAAAGCAACAGATACAAATACAGAGATGGAGCACATATAGTACATATTTGTATAAGTTGTCTTGTAGTTATTGATAAAATAAAATTGTTTTACAGGATGAGGTGCAAGAAGCTTACAATCTCTTGAAGGACCTTGAGCCAACTGTACCCCAAGAGTATATTCTTAAAGGAGTTGTAAATTCAGCCATTGGTCAAGAAACAGGCTCTGTAAGTGGTTTATTTTATGTTAGAAATTATTAATATTTTTCATGGGATATTATGTTCTGTAAAAGATTTATTTGTGGGATTAGTGCTTGATTCATGTAATTATTTGTAAGTAGTGTGTAGAAAGAACATTGAAATTAATTTCTGACATTGCTCAGACTGTCATTATTAAGGATTTTTTTTTTATACTGATATTCTCTCTTGTATTTCAAGAAGTTTAGAATGGATTCAAACTCTCTTGGTAACTCTTGGTGCTGACAGTGATTTGGAGAACAGTGAAACAAATAATAGTGGAATAGATATGAAATATTTCATGTGGTTTATTCTCATTTAACAAATTATACACATATTGATAATGAGGAGGCCAATTTATAGTCTGTGGATGTAAAATATCTTGACTATTACCTAACCTTTAATGCCCACAAAATAAGTAAGAAACGGTGACTAATAATCAGCTGCAATCATGTATTAGTTTGTAAAGATTATAATGTAAACTTTTTAAGCATATATATACATATTACATCCTAAATATTAATGTTACACAATATCTTACATTTACAGAGAGAAAATTTAAAGATAGCCCAACAGTATTTCCAGCTGGTGGGAGGAAGTGCCTCTGAGTGTGACACCATACCTGGACGACAGTGTATGGCATCTTGTTTCTTCTTGCTTAAACAGTTTGACGATGTACTCCTCTATTTGAATTCAATCAAGTCGTACTTCTACAATGACGATACTTTCAACTTCAATTATGCCCAGGTAAAGAATTAGGATTGCGTTTCTCCTTTTTCTTTTTCTTTTTCTTTTCTTTACGATAAGTCAGCACATTTAGGTGTCCAGTAATTAGTATTTCTGTATTTTGCACAAACTCAAACTTTGGAAGGTTGGGTTCATCTGTAAATTGCATGAGTCTGTCCTCTGTTTTTCTAAATCATTACCATTTATTGATATTTGAAAGGGTTAGAAAGTACATATCCTGCAATTAGTGATAGAGATATTACCATTATATTATTATGCACAGCACATTTTATATGTATATAGTGTTAAGTAAATTTTTAAAAAAATTAGTAAAGCATTTATACTTTTTTGAATTTGTACATCTGATAGATTTACATATCATATTACATGAAAATAGCCACATTAAAAAACACACTCATTCACTCACACACTCACACACACACACACACACACACACACACACACACACACACACACACACACACACACACACACACACACACACACATCCACACACACACACATCCACACATCCACACATCCACACCCACCCACACATCCACACCCACCCACACATCCACACCCACCCACACATCCACACCCACCCACACATCCACACCCACCCACACATCCACACCCACCCACACATCCACACCCACCCACACATCCACACCCACCCACACATCCACACCCACCCACACATCCACACCCACCCACACATCCACACCCACCCACACATCCACACCCACCCACACATCCACACCCACCCACACATACCACACCCACCCACACATCCACACCCACCCACACATCCACACCCACCCACACATCCACACCCACCCACACATCCACACCCACCCACACATCCACACCCACCCACACATCCACACCCACCCACACATCCACACCCACCCACACATCCACACCCACCCACACATCCACACCCACCCACACATCCACACCCACCCACACATCCACACCCACCCACACACACACCCACCCACACACACACACACACACACACACACACACACACACACACACACACACACACACACACACACACACACACACACACACACACACACACACACACACACATCCACACACACACATCCACACACATCTCTATATGTATATGTTTATATTTATATAAACATTAACAAAATCAGACAGAATGCATCCACACTTTTTTTTCTAACTGCTGGTATATGCATACATATTGACACAGTCACACATATACAGATATATATTGACAGACATGCATAGTCAGACATCCATATATGGAGTCATAGAGAGACATAGTCATACATAGATATTTCATGAACAACACACAAACAAACAAATAAGATAAAACTACATATTTCTGCATCTCTAATCCTCTTTTTGTAGTTTTTAGGGCCAGGTTATCATTCATAAGAATATAACATGAAATTGTTGAAACAGATTCATTCATATTCAACAGCTGATGTATATTCTAAGTTAAGTACTTCAGCTGAAATAAAGTCTAGATTTTTCCTTTTTATTTAAAGTTTCTTTAGTTCTCTTTTCTGTAATATTGTATGTCGTCATAAATAAGTTACTAAATAAGAAGTAATTTTATGCTTTTAATAAGAATTTACAGATTAAATGATTAATTCTCACAAGAGATAATCTCCAAAAGAGATGTCACTTTATACATTGAGTACATATTTTACTTGCAAACTAATTTTGGCTTAAAGTTCATTAAAGGAAACATATTTGTTTGCAAGGTGGGTAAAACTGCTGCTTCTGTAGGAACTAGGAAATGCATAATATGAACTGAATGTTTATCTGCTTTTTCCATTTACTTCTTACTTCAAGTCCCCACCCAACATAGATGACAATTTCAACTTCAACTTTGCTCAGGTAGGAAGGAGGCACAAGCATGTGGTTGTTCACATGTGCTTTTATGAGCATGTCAAATTACTCTTTATTACCAGTGACACTGGTACAAAAGTGATAAGGGTTGCATTTTAAAGGATTTAAAAGATTTTAAAGCAGGTTTTGAAGAAAAAATATAATGATTCTTATTATACACTTAAACTAGTACAAGTGACAGCCACATAGCAGGGACCAATGATTTATATAAAGGCACCATGACTATTCTGTTTATAATATTTTATGGAATGAGCACTTACCTGGGTCTTTTCTATCTCATTTGTTCCTCCTTTCTTTACCTGTAGCAAAATCAGTCACATAGTATAATTTAATTGATCAGAAAAGTCATTAATGTTCATGCACCCATTTTTTTTTTTTACTTAATTTGTCCAATATGAGCTCTCATCTGTTTCACTCCATTTTGTTATTTCATCAAAAAGGTAGATTTTTGTATCATAATCACATTCATATCAGTTCTACACAACATCTGCACCTGTGACTTTTTTAAAACCAGCAAGACCACCACAAAAATGCAATACTGATTTTTTTCCCACTTCTTTCTGAATTTGTAATTATCTAAGCATTTTAGAAAAATAGTTTATGACTTTGGAATAATGAATTCAATCATACTGAAGTAAATAATATAGGTCATGTGAATAAACATTATGTGTAAGATCTGGGGCAACAATGGATTTTCTGTACCAGAAAAGTTTTAAGCATTTTATTCTTTTAATTGTTTAGATATATATTTAATCCTAGTTCTTGTTACTTCACCTTCAGCTTGTTTTAACCCATTGCCGCCGGGGAAAATGCTGTGCCTACTTTCTATATTTTTTTTGTTAAATGTCTGCCCATAGATGGCTCTGTTAGTGCCTGATTTGAAATGGTGGGAAAAACGTATTTTTCACTAGTGCCGTGAATAACAATGGTGTTATTTTTATTATAAACATTTGAATTTTTATGATGTTTTTTAACATAAGATAGCGTAAAATATTTCGTAAATCGAAGAAAAGGGTAAACGGGCGAGACGAGCAGTACTCGTAACCGGCTCATTGGTGATTTAGTACAAGTGTTGCCATCTATGTGTGAAAACAATCAAACAAGTAATGTCACAGTGGGCATGGCATGGCATGCCCATCGGCAATGGGTTAAACGTACAGTTGAATTTGAGAATGAGTTCAGAAATGGTGTTAAAGAATCTCCATTGCCCTTTAATTTTGACATGTAAATGCACTATGTATCTCTCTGTTTGAAAGCAAGTAGCAAAGAAGCATATTTGTTAGGCCATTCCAGCTTCATAAAATGTTGTATTACCCATCAGATCTATTCTTACAAATGGCTTTACAAGACCTGCAAAAATACCAAGAACTTGTTGATCAATTTCACTCATAGATAAAGGGTAATTTAATGAAATGTAAAAATACTGAAGATCAGAGATACTACTAGGATATTTTTTATTGTTATTATTAAAACAAGGTTCATGTATGCATCTTGCTATCTTTAAATGCAAAGGGTTTTCTTAAAAGTATACGTGAGTTTAAACAAATATTTAGAAATAGTAGAAAGAAAGAAAAATGTTGTCTAGCATGTTGATGGATATAACTATGTACCTGAATATAGTATAGACATAAATATAATTCATTAGATTTTTCATACATACACAGTGGGAAGGCATTTTTTTGTTAGTTTTAATATTTTTAATAATAAATGCCAGGGATGACCACTTTTTGCATTGTCAAACATGGAAAGAAGTTGACTATATCAAAGTTATATAAAATATATATAAAAGTTAATTTGAAATGCAATTACAATGTCTGTTTTAATATCTTTATTCACTATTTCTTATTCAGATAAAATCAAAATATTAAGGTAGAGTAACAAGAATAAATTTTGATAAATGGATGATTTACATCTTATGTACAGATAAGATATAAACATATTTGTAAGATTATTAACGTAAATTGTTATAACACATGATATTACACTTATTTTCTGTTAAATGTCTTTTATCATAGACTTCATAAATTATTCGTACTCCAGAAATTTCCATCACATCATCACAAAAGAAAATAAATATTTGTGATACTAAGTAATATTATTTCAGCTGACATGTTATTTTCTTATTTTCACAGGCCAAGGCTGCAGTGGGAGACTTCAAAGAGGCAGAGGAAGTTTTTCTCCTCATTCAAAGTGAAAAAATAAAAAATGACTATGTGTACCTCTCTTGGTTAGCTAGATGCTGTAAGTACATTGTTCAACAGCATTTGTTTTACTGATCTTGTCTTATTTGTAAGATATAGTTTGCATTCATATATCATTTCTTTAGGGAAGTGTTAATTTTTCATTATAATTTTAAACCACTATTTAGTGTATCATTGTATGAGATGT